ATATCACATGCCTTCGTTATGGTGTAATGCGAACGAATGCGGTGCTATCAAGGGAAATAGCAACTAGATTTTCCGAGTTTACACGTGCCACAACATTTGGATGTATACACTGCGTTTCATAATTATAGGTCCACCCTAAATTTTTGCTACCCCAAAGTTGCTGTGCATTTTTTGGAAATGCTGCTATCACCATTAGATTCCTCATCACGGAAAACCTTCATAGTGTTTTTCTGACAAAGTTCCCCCTCAAGTAACCCAATTAACTTTTTCAGAACGAATTTTCACCGTTTCATGAATATCGGGCCACTCATAAAAAGTTTCCATTTCTCACGATCCGTGAAGGGAATCAGGGAAGCGGGGATATGTGAGCTCAGTCGACATCGAGTTTACCATACCTCGTGTTACTCGCCTCTCTTCCCAGTAACAAGCTCAAGCCAGAGCACTTACTGAAGTGGGATGGCTGAGGAGCAGAATTTCCTCCCATGTCGGCCGGCTCATACTGCATAAGCAACTATGTGCGAAAATCCTGGTCAGTGCGGAAAGAAGAGTAGCTTAGGTAAATAAAGACTGCGTTTCATTCAAAATTCAAGAGGAATTGGGCGTCTTCTGTCGAATTGTACAAGGAGTCCGAACAAAGTCCGTGCTGAAATGCGGCCTTCCGTGAGCAAAACCACCGTGTGGTGAGTAAGCCAGCAGAGCAATAACATCTTCAGCGGATTGATGAAGAGCGTTCCAAGATTATTTGAGCGCTACAAGATCGCACGTCTCCATTTCTCCGTGGAAAAGGGCTCAACTTAATGAACGAAGGCTGTTAAGACCCTTCGCGATCTTGGACTCTACCTCCTTGTTTCGTGCTACAGGTGATCTGAGATCGACGTGAAAAAGTTTATTCTAGGTGGATCTGATAGAAAAAGAGGGTACAGGAGGGTTCCGTGAAAATCGCAGATGGTTTCAATGTAACGTAATTTCGGCGGAGAATCCCTTATGGTTTGAGGCACCTTTGAACGACTGAGCGGCTAGAGCTCGCTTTTGTTTCCTTTCACAGGATTCCATAGGGTATCGTGAAGTTCTTTTGAAGCGACTTTTACCATTTTTCGACAACAATCCCCTCGATCCTTGATTTTTAAGTGCAGGAAAATATGTGGCAGTTATCTGGTGGCCACCATGTTATCTGAATCAGATTCCAATGGAGAATCATTGGGCCTTAATTGTTATAAAGTTCCACAGCAAAGTAAAGCAAAATGGAACAGCCGAAAAGCTGAAAACGTCGAAGAGCTGGAGCGCTTCTGATCATCGCTCAGTGACGAGATCCGAATTCGACTGTGAATTAATAGCTAATTTGGTTACCAGCATTCCAAAACGTATTATTGTGTTCCTTATGACTATGGGAGGACCATCCCATTATTGAAAATTTGTGACGTTTTTTTGTTATAGTAAAATCTCTCGACAAGTGATGTGTAGTCATATTTGCGAAACGGTGAAAATACGTTCTAAGGAAGATATTTTAATAATTCTGAAATCGAGATTTCTCCAGAAATCAAGTATCAAGGTTTTTCGTTATGGGGAAACTATTGGTAATAGCGGCATTTTCCAAAAATGCACAGCAACTTTGGAATAGCAAAAATTTAGGGTGGACCTATATTTATGAAACGCAGTGTATAAGAAAATCGCCTCGAACTCTCTCTCAGTGCATCTTAGCTTCCAGATAATCAACTCAAGTCTCTTTTTCGTCTGGAGTGCAGTATATTCCTAGTAGTGCTTAACGCCGTCAATCGTTCTTGAGGCCAACACCTTCTCGTAGGTGTGTTTTTTTTTGTTCGCGACGGCCGAATCACTATCTAATTCAGTAAGGCAATGCACAGCACTGAACTTTGGATTGCGAGTGATGGACTCGAAGCGCGTCTAATTCAGTTGAGACGAAGATGCTGGAAAGGTGCAGCACTCATCACAGCTGCGCGATGACGATATACGGGAATGCTTTGGTGCAGCTTACATTGCTGATGAAATAAGCAACTCATCTGCAGTGACACAATGACGTGAATTACAGCAGTATTTGTAAGATCGACCCCAGTCATGACGCGCCCGGAAAACGACCTAAAGTCGCTCAATGCAACGCTAATTTGAAAGGTTGCATGCGAGCTTGAAATTAGTTGGCATATATCCCAATCGCACGTTCAATCGGGAAAGGTGGCGCTAAAACCGAACAGCGGATCTTCCCCTCCCATCAAGTGGATAAACGCTGCAGAAATAAAATATTAACATAAGAGATAGAAGTGTAATAGGTGCAATATAAAAGGAATGGAACTATAAACTCTCGAACTACTCACTGAATACATTTGGTGGAAAGCCCTGAGAAGATCCATGATTCTCCTTTCATCTATCGCACACAATAAATTCTCTAACGCCTCTTCACAAGCACGATCGCATTCCTTAACAACTCCTCTAAATTCGATATTATCACATTCGTAGAATGACAGTTTTACCTTCATGCACCATCGTACTCTATCGAAGAATATATGGTTGTCCACCAACTCATCTTCTGACTCCACCTTGAAGTTGTTTAGAAGGAGCTGATCGGATACAGTGCATCCACGGGAAACTAGGGCCTGACAGAGAAGAATATAACAAGCGGGCTTGACAGAAAAGAATATGACAAGCACTACACAATAATTGCAAAAGGAAACCTTGGCTGCATAGTCGGCACGAAAAGAACCAACTGCACGTATGGTTGTCTCTGGTGCAAGGTCGCGACGAGTAGCGTAAACGGAACCGAAGTAGACTTTCGAGGTGGAACGTTGCATGAGACGAGAGATGATTGAAAGCAGATGATATGTTGGCTGCTAAATGTGTAAAAGAAAATTATAGCGTTATCCGTACAGGAGAACTTTAAGCCTAGAAAACATTAGAATTTCATCAACTCATAAAAGATTATAAAACACGACCAATGATTTTAAACTGCAGAAAATATTTCGCTTCATTTTGCTAAATAATCAGAAAGTAATCAAAAAAATATCCAGTGTACATTGGAGCTTCCTGCCCTTCTAGCCAAGAAGTGGTCCTCACTTTTTGCAAATTTTTGTGAATCTCAGCCGTAAGCTGAAGCGGAGCGAAAGTTATAAAAGGAGAAGGCTTATTCTTGGAAGGCTTACGGCCAGATTCTTTTAGAACTCTGAAAAAAGGTAAAAGATAATAAATCAATCTGAACTGAAGATTGAATTTGAATTTGTATCAGTAGCGCTCAAAAGACTTTGGTGAAATGTTTTTCGACTGGAACTTTTTTCTTTTTTCTTTTTTGCTGAATCAAATCAGTACATTTTTCGATATGTTTCAAGGGCAAACCTTGTTCACTGAACAAGTGTATTACTGTTGAATGGGAGAAAGAATTAGAAAAAAATCATTTCACTAGAAATTCTCGAGTATGACCAAATTCCAAGTAGGTTTCAAATTACTCTAGCAAGCTTACAATTCAACAAAACAATCTTACGCATGATGAATAACACTGGGCAGGTCCAATACTTTGTTAATGATCTTCTGGGTCGCTGAAATACTAACAAGGCCTAAGTAAGGAACCAGTCAATGAACGCACCGTCTACTGGACCTCCTCAATTTTTCTTCGAAGGAGAGAGAGGAGGAGATGGAACGGGTTTACGAACACCTGAGCTGGACATCATCATGGAGCTCTCATGTCATCTGGAGCAAAGAGAGCAAGTTTAGGATGCTTGACGGTGGCGGCGATAAGCATGCGTGTGAAGCCGAAGGAAGTTCAAAGTTGATACAAAGTATCAGCTGCATCCTCGAAACAAGGCGGATGCTCCGTTTTGGTAGGTCGCAGAAGAAGCCTACCACTCCAGAGGATTCGAGAAGGAAGGAGACGTATGCATTCAGACTTCTAGAAGGTGTTGTGTATCCACACGTATGACAACTGCACGAACTGACTTCGCCTTCTAGCAATAGAGCGATCAAAAGCATCGCACCTCAACTGTGCAAGGAGCGCTCTTCGACAGCATGGCGCGCCTTCAAAGAGGGACAGCTTCAGCTGCATATCCTGAGCGTCATCGAGACACTATAGGAAAGGCGAGGAACTCCTGCGCTAAAAAAAACCTGAAGAAATGGACGGGAAACTCGTCAAATTCGAAGAAACGTGGAGGGAGTTGCCCAAATAGACAGTGAATTCATTTACTGATTCCATGCTTAGCCCTTGTTAGCGTTTCAGCTACTCTAGAAGATCATTAACAAAGTATTGGACCTGCCCAATGTTATTCATCATGCGTAAGATTGTTTTGTTGAATTGTAAGCTTTTACAATAATTTGAAATTACTTGGAATTTGGTCATACTCGAGAATTTCTAGTGAAATGATTTTTTCTTTCTGAATTCCTCCCATTCAACAGTAATACACTTGTTTAGTGAAGAAGGTTTGCCTCTAAAATATAAAAATTGAACTGATTTGATTCAGCAGAGAAAAGTTAGACGAGAAAGTATTTCACAAAAGGCTTTCGAGCGCTACTGTTACTGCTCAACTATGTAGTTTCTTCATAAATGATGAAGCGAAAAATATAAAGCAGTGAGGCAAAACAAGAATTTTCGTGCGACAACTTCTCATTTAAGGGAACAATGCCTATATTTATAGAGTGCATCAAGCTGTAATTTGTAAGCTTCGAAGTTACGCTTCTGGTCAG